GTTCAAAAACTCTGTAGCGTCATTCTGTTATACTACTTTTTTTTTTTCATCCACTGACCTCCTCTCTGATCTTTGCTAAACTTGCATCAGACTGCCTTTGCATTTGCGCTATCAGCCTTCATTAGCCGGTCATCTTCAGCTACAAATATAGGATTCTACAACTTTATTATCGGCTTAATCACCCAGGCTAGTTTCTCTAATTTCTTTTGAGAGTTCTTGGTTAAAAGCCAGGGAAACCAATAGACTTGTTTACTGACGTTATTTCATATTGTGCAGATTGTGACAGCATTTGGGTTCCCATACAGTAAAATGTTCTCACAAACATACAGAGTCATATGGTCCTTCTACCCTCCAAATTTGCTAGCCAAGGGTATCCAGATGCTCACAGATGCAACTAGTACACCTCAAGACCCTGGAATGAGCTGGAGTGGAAGGACAAAATGTCCACCTAACGACGATGAATGTATTTTAAAAATGGTGAGTTTTATCCTACATATTTATAAATTCTATTAAATTTATCTCCCTTTTATATCCTTTGATGTGATGCTTATCCTTTTTGTCATTTTCAAATATTCCCCATCCTTGCTTAGTGGACTGCTAATCATTAAGTACTGCCATCTTGTGACAGAACGATGTCTTCATATGGCTGTCAGGGACGTTTTTTATGTGGTTTGTTTTGGCTCTTTACTTTGACAATATTATTCCGAACCCCTATGGAGTAAGGAAATCAGTGTTCTACTTCTTGTATCCTGGATATTGGACAGGCAAAGGTGGAAGCAAGGCACAAGGTAGCAAGTCATGTCCTTTCCTTTTAAACTTTTCTCAAGTTCTCCTAATTTAATATATCATACTAGTTTTCTAGAAAAAAATAAAAATATCTCACACTAGTAGCTTTTTTTAATAAACTAACTGCACTTAACATGGATGCATCAGAGGGTGGCATCTGTACCTGCTTTAGTTCGTCCTCACAGCTTGAGCATGTAACTCCTGATGATGGGGATGTTCTTCAAGAGGAGAACAATGTTAAACAGCAAGCAAACGAAGGCGTTGTTGATTCAAATGTTGCAGTCCAAATACGTGGCCTTGCAAAGGTGTATCCCGGATCAACAAGTCTTGGATGCTGTAAATGCAAAAGGACTCCTTCTTACCATGCGCTCAGGGTAAAAAATCTTGCAGTTTCTTTGTTAGACAAAACTAATCCAGTATGCTACATCAGAATGGACAAAAGACAAAACAAAGCTATGCTATATTAATTATTCTCATTAAGGTTTGCCTGCTTAAAATAGGGAAATGTGTCCCATAAAGAACTAGGAAAGTTGAGCTGAAATTTCTATTAATTTTAACTTTTTCCATTGTGCTCCTTGGTCTGAAAACCTTACAGTTATACTCCATATAATTTTGTTCAAATTACATAGTGTCATTTTATGAGGAGGCCATGAATTGTCAAGTTGCTGCTGATAAAAATATATAGCTGTTTAAATATTTGTATACAAAAGAAGAATACCTTATATGTCGATTTCTCCAGGGCTTATGGGTGAATCTTGCTAAGGATCAGCTATTTTGTCTTTTGGGTCCCAATGGAGCTGGTAAAACTACTGCTATCAATTGCTTGACTGGAATTTCACCAGTGACCAGTGGAGATGGTAACAGTTTGTTAGAGAATCTGTACTTTCTGGTTTAAATTTCTTTTCTATAACTATATTAATCTCACAATTATTGTTGATCCACAGCATTGATCCATGGTAATTCCATTCGAAGCTCTGTTGGCATGTCCAATATTCGCAGAATAATAGGCGTGTGTCCTCAGGTAGTCTTCTGATACTGTATGATTTTACAATTTGAGTAGTCAAACAGGATGACAGCTAAAATCTATTAAGCTCTAGTTAAGAAACTGATTGCCCCCTTTTTTTTCATTCTAGTTTGATATTCTTTGGGATGAGTTGACTGGTCAAGAGCACCTCAACCTCTTTGCAAATATCAAAGGTCTTCCCAGAGCTACAATTTTGACGGTATGTTTGCCAAACCAACTCGACTTCATTTTCTTTACTTCTCGAGACTTTAGATATGAAATTCAATCCACCGCCAATGATTATTCTCCAAGATTGATTCCTCAGTCTTAATTAGGATAATGATGTCACTCACTCATAAGAGTTTCAACTTAAATATGATATGCAGGTTGTTCAGGATTCGTTAGCAGAAGTGAGGCTAACTAATGCTGCAAAAATGAGGGCTTCAAGTTACAGTGGAGGAATGAAACGCCGTCTAAGTGTCGCAATTGCACTCATTGGTGACCCTAAATTAATCATTCTGGATGAACCTGTATGTATGCAATTCATCAGAACTTGTTATTCATATATTTGAATGAAATATAAGCTATAACAAAGTTCTTTTTTTAACTGCAGACAACTGGTATGGATCCTATTAGCAGGAGGCATGTGTGGGACATAATAGAAAATGCAAAACGAGGGCGAGCCATTATTTTAACTACACACTCTATGGAAGAAGCTGACATACTGGGTGACCGTATTGGAATCATGGCCAAAGGAAGACTTCGATGCATTGGGACTTCTATCAGATTGAAGTCACGCTTTGGAACTGGTTTCATAGCCAATGTGAGCTTTGTTGGGAACCTTAATGGAACCCCTATCGAAGGAGATTCTAGTGATATGAATCACTCCCAGGAGGCTGTCAAGCGGTTTTTTAAGGATGTATGTTACAGATCCAAAAGTTCCTTGTCTATTGTTGATCTTATTAGTGTCTAAATTTCTACTTGTTTTGTTGCAGCACTTGGGTGTAGTGCCTAAAGAAGAGAGCAAATCCTTCCTGACTTTTGTAATTCCTCATAAAAAAGAGGAGCAACTGACGGTAAAATTCCTCTCTTCTTTTTAGTCATCAAGTTCCTTTCTTCTTCTAATGTTGCTGCAGCAATTATTTTGTTGCTAATGCCCCTTTGATTTATTCATTTAACCAGATGTTTTTCGAAGAACTACAAGAAAGAGAAGCAGAGTTCCAAATAGCTGATATCCAGCTTGCTCTTACTAGTCTGGAAGAAGTTTTCCTAAATATTGCAAGACAAGCAGAGATGGAAAGTGCTGCTGCCGAGGGAAAATTGGTCACCTTAAACCTGACAACATCCGAGACTTCAGTTGAGGTACGTCCATAAACGAATTGTGTCTGATTCACATGGAAATCTAATAATATGAAGTAAAAGAGGCTTTTTTAATCTGACCCCTAACCTTATTTACCCTTTCGCTTCATATATTACAGATACCTGTTGGGGCTCGATATGTGGGGATACCAGAAACAGAATCAGCAGAAAATCCCAGAGGTGTGATGGTAGAAGTGTACTGGGAACAAGACGATTATGGTGCTTTGTGCATATCAGGACACTCTCGCGAAGTCCCCATACCCTCAAATATACAGCTACCGACAGCACCACACACTATATCTCGCCAAGGTGTCTTGGGTCGAAGGGGGAAAATACATGGTCATGTTATTGATCCTGATCAGATTCCTGAAACAACATTCCAAAGATAAAATAGTCGCATATATTGTGGTGCTTACATAATATACTATGTGATTAAGCTAAGTATGCATTCTTTTTACACATACACACTTCTGTATATGAGAATGTGGATTAACAAATTTTGACCTTATGATATGTTTGTGTTCACTTAAATTACCCCCCAATTGGATTATTGGATTGTAATACATTGTACATAAAGTCTCCAATACAGTAGCTTGTACTGATATAAAAGTTTGGTTTTCTAGAAACGGAAGTTAGAGTTTTGCTGCTGGTGCTGAGTTTTGCTTTATGATTAAGCTTTTTTAATCTGTTAGATGCATAGCGACGGCCATGCCTTGTTGCTTGCGAATTGATCATCTCCTATGGCCTTATACCTTGGCAGTAGGCACCACTTTAGCTATACATTGTGATTTTGCATAATAGCTTTTTTTTTAACCCAACAACGAAAAGCTTCTGCACATTATTTGTAACCTTATTTCTGATTACAACGAAAAGCTTCTGCACATTATTTGTAACCTTATTTCTGATTAGTCAACGAAGAGTACAGAGTAGTCTGTTATTCTTGGATTTGTCATGGGGGTTTTGGCAAATTAAAGTCAATGTCAAGTCACTTTTTTCGGCAAGTGTATATAGGAACTCTACTGTTCGTGCATTACTCAAGCTGCACCGCCTGATGGAATGTGACCATTGTTCTTGGTGTTCAAATACGCCGGAAACAGTGAACCATGCCTTATATTATTGCCTAGCTGTACAAGACCTTTAAAGGGAATGTGGATGCAAGAATTTGGTGGATGCTGCTACTTGATGATTTCAAAGAAACTCTGATATCCGAAGTCATGGACCATGTTCTTCCCTTGATTGATTCACTACAACAAATGTAGTCAGCGCATACTCGTAAATGATAGACGCCTTGTCTTGCAGCGTTTACAGCGACTTAGGTGTGGAATGCACCTCCTGTGGGAGTGGTGACCGCGGTTGGGTAGGCCTTGGAGAGTTGGAGCTAAACTAGAAATGAAGGAAATGTGCGATTTAATCTGATTATCAAACTTTATTACCTTTCTCTCCAAGACTGCCATCTTTTTAACTGAACATGATTCTCTCTTTTTAACTGTCGTTGATACATTGGTGATATTTAAAAGATTTTTTTTAAAAAAAGATTGAAAATTACTCCATTACATATATTATTTACAACGATCGATGGTAGTATAAACAATCTCTTACTTTCTTTAGAGATAACAAAATAAAATAAAATAAAACTGCAGGCAAAACTTCTTTTACACTTCACGAAATACTTAACGAATAAGATAAGGATGAATTCATATGTTCATATCATCATATGAATCCACTTATATTTTTCGTTAAACCTTTATCTTGTTCGTTTGATTATTTTTCTTTTAATAATCACTTAAGTTACAAAAAAAAAAATAAAAAAAAAAAAAAAAATAAAAAAAAAAAATAATTCATTGAAACAATATTTAAAATATCACTTGTATATTATTAATTCAATAATTCTGAAAAACAAAAAACAAATACTCAGTAATACATACATTGACTATAATCTGAACAAAATCGAATAATATTTGACTCCCTGTTCAATAATAATAATTCATCCAAATCCAATCATAGAAACAAACAATTTATTTAATAAATCCAATAAATGTTTCTTCTAATTATACTATTAAAGAACAACAAAAATCTCCTACTACTGTATATTAATCAACAATATTAAAAAAAACAATTGAATTTCAAATATCAAATCCAAAGAATAATATTCATACTAATTCTTAGATCATGGTAGTTCTTGCATTGTACCCATATTGAGTTCTTCGAATATTATCTTGACGCTTCTTGTAAATCCACCCGGCGCAACCAACCGCCGCCACTCCAACCATTACTCCGACGACTAATCCGGCTTTATGACCGCCGTTCATTCCGCCGGAAGAGGATTCCTTCGCTTCTTCACTCTGTACTTTCGCAACGTCATCAGCGGCACCGGTTGACGGAGATGGTGACGTGGATGGGGATGTTCCCGGCGAGGAGGGAGAATCCGATGAGGTTTCCGGCGAGGGGGATGGTGAAGACGAAGTGTTGTCGGAAACGACGTCGTTTGTAGGAGATGGTGAAGGTGAAGCAATGTTGGAAGATGGAGGAAGAGAGATGGTGGGTGAAGGGGAAGATGAAGGAGGAGAGAGAATGTCGGAATCAGCGAGTTGAGGGGAAGGGGAAGGAGAAGGAGAAGGGGGATCTGAGGAAAGGGCGAAGTGGGTGTGAAGAGAGAGAAAGAGGAGAGAGAAAAAGAGGGGTCGCCATTGAAACGCCATTGTTGTAGATCTGTAAAACTGGAAGAATGAATGAATGAATGAAGTAGATCTGAGAGTGAAGATGGGTTGTTGTTGTTATAGGAGAGAGAAAGAGAGTCAATGAATTGAAGAAGAAGGAAAGTGTAGAGAGTGAAAGATGAAGGAAGAGGAAGTTTCTGGGGGAATTTGAACTGCAATTGAAGTCGGTGGTGGGTTTAAAGATGAAGAGAGAGAAAATTGTTTCCCAAAATCTAATAAAATTGCGGCGTTTTATTCGGGATTTTTTTATTTTATTTTTATTGTTTGCCTTTTCTTTGGATGCAAACCAACGAGGTTTTCAATTGGAGTGATTTTGCGTCTATCGGTTGTACAATAACTGTTAAAGTACTGGAATTATGGGTACACATGATTTGTCAACACTCAACAAAAACTCGTGAGCAATTCAGCAAATAAAGATATCAAAAATACTTTCTCCATTTTTTTAATCTCCTTAGGGTTTATTCTATTCGGCTTAATTTCGATTCAGTTCATTTTAACTCTATTTTCTACTCCGTACATCCTGTCCAAACTATTTGCAACTTTGAAATATTTTATACTACGTACCTCACAAATAATACCCCAAAATTGCGAATACTTTGGACCAGAGGTGTTAATTTAGTTCATTTCAGTTCGGTTCCTAATTTCTTTCTCTCGTAAATAATTCATTTCAATTCTATTTACTTCAATTTAATTTAGCCCCAATTCATTCAGTTTAGTTGTTTTTAATAAATCGGAAACATACACTTAGTTTTTTTGAATCCAGGAAGGAAGCTCTAACCACTTGAAGTATCCCTCACTTTTTTTTTACTATGTAGTTAACACTAAAGCAAGTTTCTTTTACTAAAAATGTTTCTATTCTAGATATTGTTGATACTTCGGGCCTGTTCACTTCAGCTGAATTTCAGTTCTGCTTCAATCAGTTTAGTAAAAAAAAACAGGCCCTAAGTATTTATTTACGGAAGGACTGATGGTGTTTCCTTAACATGCAATAATACACATTGTAATTTACCTCATATGAAAAGATAAAAGAATAATGATTGTTTTACAGTTCAAATGGAAATAAAATAATTATTGACAAATCAATTGCAATTAATATTGCCCTAAAAAAATTACAATTAATATTAACAAGCTAAAATTTGACACTGACTCTTTAAGTATCTGTCATCAATTAATAAACTTCAATTAAGCTACAATTATGGAATTACTTGTATAACAATTAAGAAGATTTTTAAAAAAGGGTAATGAACTAATGATATATGTAGTCCTTAGGGCTATATAAAAGCATTTAATGTACTTCCTAAAATGGAATTAAGTTGGAAATTTATGACAAAATCACGAGCAAATCGGTGTTATTAATGTTACTTTATTCTCAATATTTCCTTTTTTAGCTTCTTATTCATAACCCTTAGGGCTATGTTTATCATTTTTCTTTAAAGAAATTACAATTAAGAAATTCTTAAATTTTCCTTCTTTATTTTTTTGCACAAAATATCACAATTAATCTATAGTAATATGTAAAGTGAAAGGGGGTTTTGGGTGATAAATTTCACTTTCCCAAAATACCCCTTTCATCTTTTATAATTTTCAAAAGAAAACTACCATAATTTAAAAAATATAACTACCATTTAAAAAAACAAAAAAACAAAAAACAAAAAAACTACCAACCTTTGATTTTTTTATTTATTTTTTTTTTGAGGAAAATCATATTTTGCATGAACATTATAATATACTCATATCTTACCTTTTAACCTCTATGATTTCATCAATTTATAAACCCACTAATATTTTTTCTATTAGAATAAGGTAGATAATATTTTAGGAAAAATAAAAAGAGAATCGAGTCATGCATATCAATTTCTTATGTTGCACACGCAATTTGCGTGTGTCTCACAGCTTGTATAAATAAGAGATAATTGTCAACTTGTCATTTATGATTTGAGTTGCTTTTGGACCTTGGGTTTTTTTATTTACAATTAAGTAAATACATGGAGGAGTTTATGTACACTTCCTCACAAGATTGTGGCCTAAATTATGGAGTATAAAGTAAGAAAAATTTAATATTTAAAAATGGATGTATATCTAGCTTAATGCGTCGGAGTAGAGCAATCGAGAAAGGCAACATAATCTGTTACCCAGTTTCCTTTCCGATAGGGCAATAGATATGTTTCGCTTGGAAGCTTAAAAAGAATCCAAAATAGCCTTGCTATTTGCCATAAAAGCTGAAGTTTTCAAGGACATCTGAATGACCCTGGCCTGCAAAATATTAATAATTGTGAGATTGCCGTCATCAATAAATATATAGATATACTTCCTCCGTCCCAGTTTACTTGCAACATTTTGACTGGACACGCTTGCCGATGCACATGTTTGACCGTTGATATCTTTTATTATAAATTTATATAAGTTATAAAAAGTTTATATTAAGAAACTATACATTAAAATAGACCCAACAACATCTTACATGATTACATTGACTTTCATATAATAGTTAAAAAAGATGGTCAAAGGGAGATGTGTGAATAGTGCAAAAAGTCAAACCGTTGCAAGTAATTTGGGACGGAGGGAGTATTAATATCCTTATGAAGAATAGGAAAATTGCCCGGAATAATCTAACTTTTGTGACGTTCGCCCAAAATAACCACACCATTGGGTTATTTTTAAATATTTCGATATTTATACCTAATCCACTTAAAATGATCCAAGAGGTGGGAAGTATAATTAATTCTCTTAGGAAGTGTATGAATCCCTAACCCTTTAAAAAGTGGGAACTTCTCCAAATGAAAGGAATAGTGATATGAGTCACAAGTCAATGAAATTTCACTATTCCTAAGTTGCAAAATGTGAGAGTTTGACCAACTTGCATTTTAATGTCATTCCATTCTCATTTTGTGACATTTTGGTGACTTGGCAAATTTATGTTGAGATATCAACTTGCTTGGCAATGAACAATGGTTAATACTCACTATTGCGATTATGTTCGTTTATTTATTGCATAAGTTTGATTTGTTTAGGATATTGTAATTAGGGATTTATAATCAAGTTTAATAATCACTGTTAGCATGAACAATTATTTATTTAATTTAATTTTGTTAATGTTAATTTATAATGCTCAGTATTATTCATTTATACTCACTATTATTCATTTATTTATTGCATAAGTTTAATTGTTCATGATATTGTGATTAAGGATTCATAATCATGTTTAATACTCACTGCTAAAATGGATTATTACTACTTGTTTAATTGTTCATGACATTGCGATTAAGGATTCATAATGAAGTTTAATACTCACTGTTAAAATGGATTATTAATACTTGTTTAATTGTTCATGACATTGTGATTTAGGATAATCAAGTGTAATACTCACTGTTAAAATGGATTATTAATCTAAATTGATGAAATCAAATTGCACACCACTTGTTTAATTGTTCAGGACATTGTGATTAAGGATTCGTAATCAAGTTTACTACTCATTATTAAAATGGATTGTTAATGTAAATTGATGAAATAAAATTACACACTACTTGAATTACAAAGTATAATTGTTCAGATCTTTGGCGAACTAAAATCATACCTTATTTGAACTGTAAACTTAATAGAGTGATCATTTCCATCAAGATAATTAGGGTTCATTAATCAAGATCATTTGTATTTTAATTTTAATTTTAATTTTAATTTTAGCGCATAAATGTGAATGATTTGGGCTGATCAATTTCATTTTCTCTTAGGAGTGAGTAATTAGTATTAGTACGCAAAAATGAGACCAAATTTGTAATGATCATTTCTTTGATTGGCTAATTAATTTACAATTAGTAGATAGGTTAGAAATGTGTAATTAGTACGCAAAAATGAGACCAAATTTGTAATGATCATTTCTTTGATTGGCTAATTAATTTACAATTAGTAGATAGGTTAGAAATGTGTAATTGCTTGATTAGGCATTAAAGGGAATTTAGTTTCTGATTTTATGCTTGATTATATTTGTGCAGGTAAAATGGGTATTAAATTATAGAAATTATAGAATATGGTGAAGGGTACATTTAGGGTGGCTGCTTAATGCTAGGGTGGCTTGCCCATACCTCAATTGTTCACTGAAAAGTGAGAGACTTTCCTTGTTTGGTGCGAGCTTGTCTTACTTAGTACATTTGTGTACAAATTTAATACAATTTTTTGCAGTGTACCTTGCCATCTTCTTCTATATATACCTTGGTTTTATTAAGAAGCTTTGTATGGTTTTTTCTTCTTCTTATTGGTTTTCTTTGGTATGGTTCTATTCTAAGATTTTATATTTATCATAAATAATAAATAATAAATAAAAAATAATAATAATTACAGCACATAGAAAATCTTTGAAATAATGTGGTGGGTTGTATTGCAATGAAGCTGATTAGCAGTGCCAATTTTGGTTCATTGTTATGTAATGCAGCTTCAAAAAATGAACTTGATTATTGAACTTGAATAACACGTGACCTGGACATTCTGGACAGCATTCGATGTGCTATAACGATTGGACTTTCTTTTGAAATTATGCTTTGGGAATAATAATTTTCTTTTAATGCTGGTGGTCATTGTTCATGTTTTTATTTTGTTGTGATGTGGAGTAATAAGTCTTGGGTTTTACTTGAATTGTTGTTTCATGGTTGTATTGTTGTGTTGGTTTTTTCCATAGCTCTATGTTGAAGGATTTTATTTATTATCTATGAATAATCTTATTGAAGGATTTTTATCTGATTTATTGTTTTCCCAATTCTTATTGAAGGATTTTCCTCTGATTTATTGTTTTCCCAATTCTTAGGAGAATCTGTTTCTAATAATACTATGATGCCTCTCAATTCAGTTGTGTTGGTAATTTTCTATGTGGTAAAAAAAAAACAAATCATGTGTTGCTTGATTATGCTATTTTCCTAATGTAGACACCCATTTGTGTCTCCCCAAAACCAAACCCAATGATGAGTACCTTTCACGTCGAATCATAATCGAATGAAACGAAAGTGTGGAAGGACTAGTGTTGCGGAAAGTTTTTATTTATTTTCTCTTTTCTCTGTTTTTGAAAACTTTATTTTAAGAAAACAGTCAATCCAGTTTGGTTGGTCCATGATATGGGTCCAATAGTAGTGTAGTTGGATGGGGCTTGCAAAGACCTTTCCAATGATATATTATAAGCCCAATTCCGATGAATATTGAGGAAGTTATGGCCAATTTACTAAATTAGGCCCGGTTTGAGCTTTATGTACGGCCCAATGATCTAGGGGAGGGCCTAATATGATTTACCATTCCTAATGCAATTAGGAATGGTTTTGGTCTTCTAGAATCTTCTAGAAGGTTCTTTTCATTCCTAATTCAATTAGCATTGGTAAGTTGACATTGT